TAGAAAAAGCTAAAGACTCTAAAAAAAAACTCTGATAAACAAATTCAGTAAAGTTGCAGTATAAAAAATCAACATACAAAAATTTGCAGCATTTCAATACGCCAATAATGAACTAGCTGAGAAACAAATTAGGCCAGAAATCCTGTTTACAATAGCTCCAAAACAAAAAAACATCTTAAGGATAAATTTAACCAAGGAGATGAAAGATCTCTAAGGAAGACTAGAAAACACTGATGAATGAAATTGAAGAGGACACAAATGAAGACATCCCATGTTCATGGACTGAAAAAATTAATATTGTTAAAATGAACATACTGCCAAAGCAATCTGCAAATTGAATGCAATCCCTATGAAAATACTCCTGTCATTTTCACAAAAATAGAAAAAAATCCTAAAATATGTATAAAACCAAACAAAAAGAGCCCGAATAGCCAAAGCACTCCTGAGCAAAAAGAACAAAGCAAGAGGCATCACACTATCTGACCTCAAAATACATTACAAGGCTATAAAAACCAAAACAGCAAGTTATTGGTATCAAAACAGACACAAATACTAATGGGATAGAAGAGAGAACCCAGAAATGCATCCATGTATGTACAGCAAATTCATTTTCTTTTTTTTTTTTTTTTTTTTTTTCTCTGAGACAGAGTTTTTTGCTCTTGTTGCCCAGGCTGGAGTGCAGTGGCGTGATCTTGGCTCACTGCAACCTCCGCCTCCTGGGTTCAAGCAATTATCCTGCCTCAGCCTCCTGAGTAGTTGGGATTATAGGTGCACACCACCACACCCAGCCAATTTTTTGTATTTTTAATAGAGACAGGGTTTCATCATGTTGGCCAGGCTGGTCTTGAACTCCTGACCTCAGGTGATCTGCCCACCTCAGCCTCCCAAAGTGCAGGGATTACAGGCATGAGCCACCGCGCCTGGACAGCAAACTCATTTTCAACAAAGGTATCAAGAAAATACATTCAGGAAAGAAAACCCTCTTGAATAAATGGCGCTGGGAAAACTCAATACCCATACGCAGAAGAATGAATTGAACCCCTATTTCTCACCATATACAAAGTTCAATCCAAGATAGGTTAAAGACTTAAACATAACACCTACAACTATAAAACTACTAGAAAGAAATATAGGGGGAACACTTCAGGATATAGCCAAAGATTTCATGGCTAAGATCTCAAAAGTACAGAAAACAAAACAAAAATAAATAAATAAAACTATTTTAAACTAAAAAGCTTCTGCCCACATAGGAAACAATCAACAGAGTGGGGAGACAACCTGTTGAATGGAAGAAAATATTTGCAAACTATTCATCCAACAAGGAACTAATATCCAGAATACACAAGGAACTCAAAACACTCGATAGTAAAAACTAATAATAATCCCACTTAAAGGTGGACAAATGACATGAAGAGACATTTTTCCAAAGACATCCATACAAACGGCAGATAGGTATATGAAAAACTGCTTACGATCACTAATCATCAGCAAAATGGAAATCAAAACCACAATGAGACATCATCTTACCCAAGTTAGAATGACTATTACTAATAAGACAAAAGATAACAGATGCTGATAAGGACACAGAAAAAAGGGAACACTTATACACTGTTGGTGGGAATGTATATTAGTGCAGCCATTACAGAAAACAGTAGGGAGATTTCTCAGAGCACTAAAAACACAACTACCATATGATCCAGCAACCGTAATACTGCGTATTTATCCAAAGGAAAAGAAATCAGTATATCAGGAGGATACCTGCACTCCATGTTTATTCCAGTACCCTTCACAATAGCAAAGACAGGGAATCAACCTAAGTGCCCACCAACAGATGAATAAATAAAGAAAATGTATATATACGCAATGGAATACTATTCAGCCATAAAAAAAATAAAATAAAATCATGGCATTTGGAGCAATGTTGATGGAATAAGCCAGGTACAGAAAAAACAAACATCAGATATTCTCACTCATATGTGGGAACTTAAAAAATTGATCTCATGAAGGAACAGGGTAGAATGATAGATAAAAGAGGCGAGGAAGGGTCAGTGAATGGGGGATAAAAAGAAGTTGGCAAATAGGTAAAAACATAAGGTTAGATAGAAGGAGTAAGTTATAATGGTCTATAGCAGAGTAGGGTGACTGTAGTTAACAACCATGTATTGTATATTTCAAAATAGCTAGAAGAGAGGACCTGTAATGTCCCAATACAGAAATGACAGAGCAAGACTCTGTCTCAAAAAAAAGAGGCTTATATCTATAAGAAACTCAAAAATAGGAAAATGATTTGAAAAGACCCTTCAACAAAGAATACACCTACGTAGCAAATAAGTAGATGAAAAGATGTTCAACATCATTAGTCAGAGAAATTTAAAAACTTGAAATATACTACTACACATCTAGGAGAAGAGCTAAAATTTTAAAACATGCTGGTAACACCACTGATGAAAATGTAAAATTATACAACTTTGGCAAGCAGAAAATTTCTTTCTTTTCTTTTTTTTTTTCTGAGACAGAGTCTCGCTCTGTCACCCTGGCTGGAGTGCAGTGGCGCAATCTTGGCTCACTGCAACCTCCACCTCCCAGGTTCAAGCAATTCTCCTTCCTCAGCCTCCTGAGTAGCTGGGATTACAGGTGCATGCCACAATGCCCAACTAAGCTTTTTGTATTTTTAGTAGAGACAGGCTTTCACCATGCCGCCAAGGGTGGTCTTGAACTTGCAGGCTCAAGCAATCCAACCACCTTGGCCTCCCAAAATGCTGGGATTACAGGCGTGAACCAGTGTGCCCAGCCAGAAAATTTCTTTAAAAGGCTATATTAGTTCATTTTCATGCTGTTGATAAAGACATACCTGAGACTGAGCAATTTACAAAAGCAAGACCTTTAATGGACTTACAGTTCCACATGGCTGCAGGAGCCTCACAATCATGGCAGAAGGCAAGGAGGAGCAAGTTACGTCCTATATGGATGATGGCAGGCAAAAAGAGAGCTTGTGCAGGGAAACTTCCATTTTTAAAACCATCAGATCTCATGAGACTTGTTCATTATCACAAGAACAACATGGGAAAGACCCGCCCCCATGATTCAATTACCTCCCATCAGGTTCCTCCCAGGACACGTGGGAATTGTGGGAGTTAAAATTCAAGATTATATTTGGGTGGGGATACCACCAAACCATATCAAAGGCAAACCAGGATGGATGTAGTGGCTCAAACCTGTAATCCCAGCACTTTGGGAGGCTGACGCAAGTGGATCACTTGAGGTCAGTAGTTCAAGACCAGCCTGGTCAACATGGTGAAATCCCATCTCCACCAAAAAATACAAAAATTAGCCAGGTGTGATGGTATGTGCCTGTAGTCCCAGCTACTCAGGAGACTGAAGCGGGAGAATCTCTTGAACCCAGGAGGCAAAGGTTGAGTTGAGCTGAGATCACCCCACTACACTCCAGGCTAAGCAACAGGGTGAGACCCTGTCTCAATAAATAAATAAATGGCAAACCAGACACTCCAATCTTAGGTATTTACCCAACAGAAATGAAACATGTCCACACATACATTTGTACATAAATATTTGTAGCAGTATTATTCATACAGGCAAATACTGGCAATGATCTAAATGTCCGTTATTGGTAAATAGATAAACAAGATATACCTACACAATGAATGCTAAAACAAATGGACAATTCTAGGAGGCATACTACATGCTTCCTAGGGGTCCTAGCAGATTCAAGCCTCCTGCCTCTAGCAGGGACTATGTAACTTGATAATTCACCTCTAATTGCCCAACTCATTCTTCATACTCTTTCCTACTGCTCCTGGGACCATTTCTCAAATATACTACCTGCATCTAGGTCTGTCTCAGGATCTACTTTTGTGAAAAATGAAACTGAAACCACACATTCATTATTGTGGGAATGATTAAGTACATTTTACTAAATCAAGATGACCAAATATTATGCACTGGTTTTTAAATGTTCATAAACAATGACACAAAAATATGTTTGAGATAATGTGAGCTTTTCAAGGGTCCAAAATGCACACAAGATATCAGACATGTGAAATGAAAAGGAAAAAAAGATCTCCTACAATAAGTTCCATATAAAAGTAAAAAACTTCTACATCTTGCACAAGCTGGTATGGAGTCTTATCAAAAATATTTTCTGAATAAATGAATGTTATTGCAGATAAACTAACCAATGAACAAGCCAAACTATAATATGCCAAACATAAGCCAAAATCTTTTTCTGTATGATCAAGTCAAATCCGTTATAATACATTAAAAGCAAGTAGAGTTTATCCTAGAAATGCAAAGGGCTCAACATTAAAAACTTCATCAGACTAATTCACCATATTTTTAAAAAACTGATCTTCAATACTAAATAGACATTTAATTAAATTCAATACCCATTAGTAAACTTTTTTAATCTTAGCAAACTAAGATTTTTTTTTTTTTAAAGACTTTGTTAACTTGATAAAGCATATGTACTAGAAAGTTACCTTTGTTAGGCATCAGACTCTGTTTTATATGCTAGGGCACTGAAGAAGAGAGGCAACAGTGCCTGAAGTCACAGAGTTTACTGTCTACTGGGTGACACAGGTAAATAAACAGATAATAATAATACAGCATAGTAAGATGCTATGACAAGATACTTAGAAGCTGCCATAGTAACATAGGAAAACATCACCTTACTTTGCTGGAGATACTTAGATCAATAGATGATAAGTACCTATCCCACAAGGACAGAGTTATTTATCTTTGTATCACCTGGTATCTAAGACTATGTCTATCACATGGTAAGTCTTTGGTAAATATTCCTTAAATTAATTGACAAATGAACAAAATGAACAAACAATAAATAATGGCCTTAGAATTTTTTTAATGTCAGGTACAAAATATCAACAAATTAAATGACTTGTTATAAATCTGATGTCTCCTAAAGAGTTCATTTGGGTACAAACAGAACCATACAAACACACAAATTAGCAATTTTAAATACTCACGGATACAAGGGATTTGTATTGGCCAGTTGGAGAGTATATGTTTTCACAGGTTCTACAGCTATTAGCACATCTTGTTCTATAGCCATAGGAAGAACAGAATATCCACAGTAATCTATATGCTCTCCTAGAAAAAAGAGAAAGCTTTTTAAATCATTGCTAATATATAAAACAAAAGCACCTCAAGAAAGTTTACATACAGGAAAAAACTGATTATGAGCCAGGTTTTAACAGTAAATAAAAATAAAGGAAAGCAGAGCAAGATGGCCAAATAGAACCCTTCCATGATCTTACACCAAATTGAACTATCTATGCAATAAACACCTTCATAAGAACCCAGAAAATTCAGGTGAGTACCTGAAAATCACAGTACCTGGTTTTCACATAACATCAGGGATAGAGGAACTGAAGAGCACAGGAAAGACAGTCTTGCATTGCCTACAGGATCCCTCCCAGTATGGAGAGAGAAAAACTGTTTGGGGGAGGGAGGGTGAAGTGAGTGTGGGTCTTTGCACTGGAACTCAGTGCTGCCATGTTACAGCAAAACACAAAACAGAGAAGGATTCTGCTAGCACCCAAGGAGGGAGCATTTAGATCAGCCCTGGGCAAGACGGAATTCTCAGTCTCAGCAGGAAGAACCTGAGTCCCAACTGACCTCACCTCTGGCTAACTAAAGTGGCCTTGTGCCCAGAATAAGCTTAATTGGCTGTCAGGCCACAAGTACTGCAGTCATCAGGCAAGCTGTGGTGCTGTGCTGGACTTGGAGGCAGTAGACTTGGGATGTGTGACCAAGTGTGACACCAGCCGTGGCAGCCAGGGGAGTGGCTGGATCACATTGCACCCAACTCCAGGAAGTACAGCTTGGGGAGAGACTCCTTTAGCTTAAGGAAAGAAGTGGGAAGAGTACAGAAGACTGTCTTGCAATTTGGGTACCAGCTCAGCCAAAGTAAAGCACCAAGGAGATTCCTGAAGCTGTCAATTCCAGGACTTAGTTCCTGAAGGGGATTTCTAGACCCACCCTCATTCAAAGGGAATCCACTGCCCTGAAGAGAAGGACCCAGTCTTGGCAGGATTCACCTGATCACTAAAGAGCCCTTGGGCCTTGAATAAACATCAGCAGTAACCAGGCAAGATCCAGTATTGTACAGGCTTCAGGTATGACCCAGCACAGTGCCAGCTGTGGAAGCCACAGAAGTGCTCTAGGTAGCCCAGTAGAGAGACGACTTCTGATTGGAAGGAGTAAAGGGAAGACATCAAGAGGACTCTGCCTGACAACCCAAGGAATTCTCCTTTACCTTACCCAAACTCGTCAAGGCAGCGCCTCTAGATGTCAGCAAGAACTGCAGTATTCCTGGGCTTAGAGCACCTCCTTTAGCCTGTAAGGACCACATTCTTAGAGCACAACACTCAACCCCATTTGAATACATGAAAAGTCTTCTCAAGAATGAAGGGTACAAACAAGCCCAGACTACACAGACAAATAAATACCTAATTTGTCAATGCCCATAAGTGATGAATGTCCACAAGCATCAAGAGTATCCAGGAAAACATGACCTCATTAAATGAACTACAGAAGACACCAGTGACCAATTCCGGAAAGACGAAGATATATGTCCTTTCAGACAGAGAATTCAAAAGAGCTGTCTTGAGGAAGCTCAACAAACTTAAAAGATAACACAGGGAAGAAATTCATTATTCTTCCAGAGAAATTTAACAAAGAGATTAAAATCATTTTTGAAATTTCAAACAGAAGTTCTGCAGCTGAAAAATTCAACTGACAAACTCAAAAATGTCTCAGTCTCTCAACAGTAGAATCGATCAAGAAAAAGAAATAATTAGTGAACCTGAAGACAGGCTATATAAAAATACACAGTCAGAGGAGAGAAAAGAAAAACAATTTAAAAAGAATGAAGCTTCTCTACAAGATCTAGAAAATAGCCTCAAAGGGGCAAATCTAAGAGTTAATGGCTTTAAAGAGGATGTAGAGATAGAGAGGTAGGGTAGGAAGTTTATTCAGTGAAATACTGATAGAAAACTTTCAAAACCAAGGAAAAGATATGAATATTAAGGTATTAGAAGATCACACAACACCAAAAGGATTCAACCCAAATAAGACTAACTCAATTAATATATTAATCAAACTGTCAAAGGTCAAGGATAAAGAAAGTATCCTAAAAGCAGAAAAAGAAAAGAAGCAAAGAACATATAAAGAACATACAAAGCAAAGAACATATATAAAGAGCATATAAAGAACAATATGTCTGGCAGGAGACAACTCAGCAGGGAACTTAGAGGCCAAGAGAGAGGCAGATGACATAGTCAAAGTGTTTAAGAAAAACAACTTTTGAACTAGAATATTATTTCCAATAAAACTATCCTTCAAACATGAAAGAGAAATACTCTCCCAGACAAACACAGCTGAGGGGTTTCATCAACACCAAATCTGTCTTGCAAAAAATGCTACAGAGAGTTCTTCAATCTGAAAGAAAAGCACATTAATGTAAAAAATATATATCACATGGTGGTATAGAACTCAGTGGTAGTGGTAAATGAACAGATGAATACAGAATAACACTGTAACTATAGTGTTAAAACACTCATATATTAGTAGGAAGATTAAAAGACAAACCTATCAAAAATAGTAACTGAAACAGCTTTCTGAGCATAAAAAGATATAAATAGAGACAATCAAAAGTGACAAAGCAGCCGGGCACGGTGGCTCAAGCCTGTAATCCCAGCACTTTGGGAAACCAAGTCAGGCAGATCACGAGGCCAGGAGATCGAGACTATCCTGGCTAACATGGTGAAACTCCATCTCTACTAAAAGTACAAAAAAAAAAAAAAAGTCGGGCCTGGTGGTGGGTGCCTGTAGTCCTAGCTACTTGGAAGGCTGAGGCAGGAGAATCACTTGAACCTGGGAGGCGGGGATTGCAGTGAGCCGAGATCACGCCACTGTACTCCAGCCTGGGTGACAGAGTGAGACTCCGTCTCAAAAAAAAAGAAAGAAAGAAAAAAAAGAAGTGACGAAGTGAAGAAATGGGGTGAAGGTGTAGTTTTGGGTTTTTTGTTTGTTTTCTTTTTGCTTATTTCTTTTTTTATTTTCATTGTAGTCAGAGTTAAGCTGTCATCTGCTTGAAATAATTGGTTATAAGATGTTATTTGCAAGCCTCACAGTAATCACAAAACAAAAACCTATATCGGATACAAAAAAAAGTTGGGTTTTTTGGGGGTTTTTTTTTTGAGACGGAGTCTCACTCTGTCACCCAGGCTGGAGTGCAGTCGCGCAATCTCGGCTCACTGCAAGCTCCGCCTTCCAGGTTCACACCATTCTCTGGCCTCAGCCTCACGAGTAGGTGGGACTACAGGAGCCCACCACCTCACCTCGCTAAATTTTTTTTGTATTTTTTAGTACAGATGGGGTTTCATCGTGTTAGCCAGGACGGTCTCTATCTGCTGACCTCGTGATCTGCCCACCTCTGCCTTCCAAAGTGCTGGGATTACAGGCGAGGGGCAATGCGCCCAGCCCAAAAAAAGTTTTAAATAATAAATTAAAACTTGTCAGAAAAAGTCACTTTTATACAAAGGAAGACGAGAAGAAAGGAAGAAAGAGAGAACCAACAAAACAACCAGAAAATAAATAACAAAATGGCACTAGTAAGCCTGTACCTTATAACATTGAATATAAATGGACTAAATTTCCAGTAAAAGACAAAGTGGATGAATGGATTAAAAAAACAAAAACAATACGCTAACCTCATCTATAAAGATACGCAGACCAAAAAAAAAAAAAGAAAAAAAAAGAAAAAGATATTGCGGAACACACACCAGGGCCAATTGTGGGTTGGTGGGGAAGGGGAGGGAGAGCATTAGGACACATAGCTAACACACGCGGGGCTTAAAACCTAGATGATGCATTGACAGGTGCAGCAAACCACCATGGCACACGTATACCTATGTATCAAACCTATACATTTCTGCACTTATATCCCAGAACATAAAGTAAAATTTTTTAAAAAAGAAAAAGATAATCCATGCAAATGAAAACCAAACGAGAACAAGAGTAGTTATGCATAAACAAACAGGATTCCAGACAAAAACTATAAAAAGAGACAAAGGTCATCATATAATATCAAAGGAGTCAATTCAGCAACAGGATATAACAATTGTAAATATATATGCACCCAATGCTGGAGCACTCAGCTATATAAAACAAATATTATTAAAATTAAAAAGAAGGATAGATGCCTATACAATAATAACTGGGGACTTCAAAACCTCACTTTCAGCCCTGGGGTATTCATCCAGGAGAAAATCAACAAAGAAACATCAGACTTAAACTGCAGTATAGAACAAATGGATATTTATAAAACATTTCATCCAACAGCCCCAGAACACACATTCTTCTCATCAGTGCCCGGCATATTCTCCAGGATAGATCGTAAGTTAGACCACAAAACAAGTCTCAAAAAGTTCAAAAAAATTAAAATAACGTCAAGTATCTTCTCTGATCATAATGAAATAAAACTAGAGATCAATATGAAGAAAAACTTTGGAAACTAAGCAAACACATGGAAAGTAAAAATATGTTCCTGATTGACCAGTTTGCCAATGAAAAAATGAGGAAATTTTTAAATTTCATGAAACATGTGGGAGTGAAAACACAATAGACCAAAATCTCCATGACACAGAAAGAGCAGTACAAAAAAGGACATTTAAAACAATAAATACCTATATCAAAAAGGTAGAAATATGTCAAATAAGCAACCTAAAGATGCATCTTAACAAATAAGAAAGACAAAAGCAAATGAAATGCACAATTGGTAGAGGAAAAGAAAGAACTCAGATCAGTGCAAAAAATAAGTAAAATTGAAATTTAAAAATACCAAAAAAAAATCAATGAAATTAAAAACTGGTGATTTGCAAACATTAAATCAAAAAACCTTTAGCCACACTAAGAAAAAAAGAGTCCAGGCACAGAGGCTCACACCTGTTATCTCAGCACTTTGGGAGGCCAAGGTGGGTGGATCACAAGGCCAGATGTTCGAGACCAGCCTGGCCAACGTGGTGAAACCCCATCTGTGCTAAACATACAAAAATTAGCTGGGCGTGGTGGTGGGCACTTGTAAT